TATCTCTGCCACCATAACATTAGCAGAACTGCATTCAACTTTTAGTGGCCACTGTCTCTGCGGGGCCCTTTCTCTCCCAGGCAGCTAAACAGTGGGGTATGGGTTCCTGCTCCTGCCCCTAGTAGTAGCGGTTCAGGCTCCTAGTGCCAGGAACCTCAGGCTGGCCATTCATCCAAATCTCCCTGATGATACGTTCCCGCTCCTCCAGCCGCTGGGCTCGCTCCAGCTCCTCCACTGAGGTGAAGACATTCTTGTTCAAAGTTCTCTCAAAGCGCCGATGTCTCCTGACTGAGATGTCAGATGCTGCATCCAAGCTGCCATCCTCGCTGTCGCTGCTATTGCTGCTGCTTTCTTGGTCCTTCAGAAGCTTCTGGGAATGCTGACAGCAGTCTATGTGGCAAGAGATCCTCATCACCAAGGCAGCTAGGGTGAGGACCAGTCCAATACACACACCAGAGACAAAGTACAGAGCTGCTCCCTCGGGATTTTCTTTGCTGGAGCCGCCAGCGCGCACTTCCGGGGTCCTGGCTCCGGGTGCTGGGGGCAGAGCCGGGGGACCGGGAGCCGATCCCTGAGAGGAGGACGCAGCAAGCTGTGGCCAAGGTTGGGACTGGCACTGGCGGTTTGGAAAAAAACCCCAGGGGAGACCTGTGGGCACGAGGTCCCGGCCTGGGCGCTCACGGGTGGCGGTGGTAACCCCAGCAGACACAGGAGGATCACGATTCCGGCTGATTCATATCAATGTATGGCAAAAACCACTACAATATTGCAAAGTAATTAGCCTCCAACTAATATAAACAAACAAACAAACAAAAAAACTCAATTTTTAAATCATTGAAAAATAGACCAGATGAAAAACTTACATGTTATTGATGATAAATTCTATAGGTTTTTAGAGGAATAGATCAGGAAAAGCTTCGTTTTAGAGATGAGTCTTGATCTGGCTTTTGAAGGATGGCTGAGATTTGAGCACTCTTGGTAAGTGAAGGCCCAGAATGAGAAGTGAATTTGACAGATTTGAAGCACAGTATGAAAATGGATCTGACTAAATTGGATGATTGCTTTTGGGATTAGCAGAGAATAAATCTGGCTAGGTAAGTAGAAGAAAAATTAGAGAGGAGCTTGAAAGTCAGAAGAAGAGTTTAGCCTTGATTCAGTAAATTTAGATTTTTATCATGGAATTGACATGATATGGAGAGAAGAGGCAATATATAATTTAGTAATTAAAGAGAATAGCCTGTAGAGTCAGAGAAACTAAGAACTAAATTGTGGCTCAGACTATTTCCACCACAAATACTGTACCTTTACTATTTCACAGTGTTGAAGTTAGGTAATACCTTTGAATCTCGACATAGCAAGACATCATTGTCACTTTCTCTCATAACTGTGCTAGCATTCTCCTACTTACTGCTTGTTCTAAAAAAAATTTTTTAAGCCTAAATGATTTAGCAACAAGACTCTGGAAAAGGTTGCTAACCTGATCCTCAGTTACATTTAAAATGCTTAGGAGAGGAGCCAAGAGGGCGGGAGAGGAGCCAAGATGGCAGAGGAATAGGATGGGGAGACCACTTTCTCTCCTATAAATTCATCAAAAGAATAATTGAACACAGAGCAAACTTCACAAAACAACTTCTGATCGCTAGCTGAGGTCATCAGGCACCCAGAAAAGCAGCCCATTGTCTTCGAAAGGAGGTAGGACAAAATATAAAAGATAAAAAGAGAGACAAAAGAGCTAGGGACGGAGATCCATCCCGGGAAGGGAGTCTTAATAGAGGAAGTTTCCAAACACCAGGAAACCCTCGCACTGGCGGGTCTGGGGGAAGTTTTTGAATCTCGGAGGGCAACCTGACTGGGAGGGGAAGAATAAATAAAACCCACAGATTACGTGCCTAAAAGCAACTCCCAGCAGAAAAGTACCCCAGACGCCCGCATCCACCACCAGCAAGTGGGGGTGGAATGGAGAGGAGCGGGCAACATTGCTTAGGGTAAGGACCAGGCCTGAGTGCCCTGAGAGCAATCGGAGGGAGCTTTTGTGAGTTACCAACCTAAACTGTGGGATAGCGAGAGAGAGAGAGATAATTAACTGGCCCGAACACACTGCTGGCCGTTCGCAGAACAAAGGGACCGAGCAAGTCCAGAGAAGAACTCGCAGGTGGCGGACCGGCCCAGCCCCGCCTGAGGCAGGGGGGAGGGGAAAGGGGCAGGCTCGGCCCCAAGGACCGCATCCCCTACTGCACTGCAAACAGGCCTCCAGTTTCTAATCAAAGACCTCCTGAGATTCTGGATGGTCAACATCTGCCGGGAGGGTCGTGGTGAGACACAGGGTGCAAGCACCCAACTGGCGCGGGCGGAAACTGAGCCTGGGACCGCGGAGGGCAGAAGGCGCGCCACACCAGGGGAGAGTGCGCCCGTCAAGCTCCTGGCTGCCTGAGCCAGTCGGATGGGGAAGGCGCAAAACGCAGGCACAGCTTTTTGTTCCGCGCTTTTGTGGAACACCCGAGGGCTGGAACTGCGTGCAGTGCAGGGCACGCTCCATATAGAACAGCCGGGAGCCTGAGCAGCGCAGATGGGGAAAGCGGTGCCAGCCCTTCCCTGCAGCGCGGCGGACCTAGCAACCTGAATAAGAGACCACCTCCGCCCGCCTGTGTCAGGGC